ATATTTTTCTTTGTCGCCTTTTTACGAAAATATTTTTTTTTATTTTACGACAATATTTTATAAAATTAACGTCAATAATTAATAAAAATACAGTATAATACTATCACCTCACTTACGATAATCAACTTGGCCAGGTAACGCAGACTAGAAGACTCCTTTGTCAATTAAGAGACAGAGCGTGTCCTGAAAAGAAAAGTTGCGATAGAAGCTAATTTGTCTTTTATGTCTAGTTTCGTTACAACAGTTAAGAGCAACAAAACAGAATGGTAAAAAACTGTAGGGGACTACTATTACAACAATGAAAGTACAAATGAGTCCAATTACACTAGTTCTGTATCAATTGCTTGATCGTGTAGAATATAAAAAATAAAATAAAAATTAGCAGGAAGAAAGATATAGTTTATTACTGCTGTTGTCAGGCAAGTTTATCGACAGTTGTCCACTGCGTTCCAAGAATTACAATAAAAACAAAATAAAATGAATACACTTCAAATAATTCCACATGTACTTACACTACTGTCTGAGAGCGAGAAGGTTGGCTCTGTTATACCTTGGGTTAACAACAGGTGAAATTGCTTCCGAAATGGAAAAGATCTTGGCAATGTCGAAGGAATGAGTAGGTTCAGGCGCCATAATAAATTTGATGACGGCGAAGCCGAAGCATGAACCAATGCGCGGAGAAACACATATTCCCCAAATCTTCGAACAGTTGCCATTCACTCAATGCTTGACCATTTCTTCTGCGCTCAACACCATCAACATCACCGAACGATCCTATAGCTCTTAAATGACAGTAGAAGCCATGCTTCCTTAAAGAAGTGTATCCAAGGCCACGTGATTTAAGAAAAGACCAAGGCGAAAATCAGCACTCATCAGCTGTTATTAAAAATGGCAACTCTGCTTTTGGTGAAACTAATGTTGAATAGATATGAAAACACACGATGGAATTGTGCTTATTGAGTATCTTTAACCAAATTAATCCTGCAATTGAATCCATACAAAAAAAAAGTATGGGCAGCGAAACTGAATCACAAGAACTCCTCTTCACCTATGAGGCATGAATACAACCCCCCTTGAACTCTTCGATTAGATTCTTGATCATTCACATGACGTTGATCAAATGTTGTCTCTTGTTTGTGAAAGGCAAGAATGTTGTAAAGGCCAAAAGACAACAAGTTGGCGTCACCGGTATTTTGTATGACAAGTTTGAGCAAAGAGAAAAAGAGGGGAGGTTGCTGGTGACATACATTGACGAGTTCAACCCTTCGAAGGTGAGCTTTGCATAAACAAAAGAAATATTAGACATTAACGTTTATGGAAACGTATGTCACTAGTGCCAAAAACGAGAAATGACGTTTGCCTGTATTGGTTTGTCTAGTGTCCTGGCTTGTCAAGGTTGCAGGATGCTTTGGAACCGCGATGTAAATGCGTCGAAAAACATACATGATAATGCTACTGCATTATTATTTGGAAGCACCCTGCCGCGTCTTTTTTGTCGCCCTCACCGGGCTTGATACCGCTGTCTCCGACACAGTTTTCTTCTCTTAGAAGAATTTAGATTTTTACAGTTAAACTGTATTTATATAGTTTTTATTTATAAGAAACAGTGTATCTGCTTTTTATGACGATGTATGGTCCTTGTTGTCAGGATATTCATAAATCCCACTTCCTCTCTTCAAACTCTCATAATGCCATTTCATCCGACATTGTTGTTCTGTTCGATGATCCATTTTCGCTGTTATCTGATCCCAATCTTTTTTGTATTCTAACACTAACTCTCGTAATTTCTGAAATTCTTCTTCTGTCCATCTCCTATTTGTAAACGGACGTTCTAATCCATATATATAGTCCTTGATGTACTTCATTGGCTTTGGTATTGGTAGATTGCGTTTTAAATCAATCCAGTTGATTCGTTCTCCTTTAGCACTACGCTCCTTATACCACCGAAGTATTATTTCCTTATCTTCATCTGTCAACCCTTCGGATGAATTCATTTTAATATTATGATAGTATGCTGATATTACTCTGCTCGTTCGTCCTGGAAAAAATTCAACAATCTTTCTCCACTTTTTTCCATACAGCTTGACACATTCCAGTAATCTTTTTTTCTCTTCTTCTGTCCAAGGAACAGGTTTCTTTGGTGTCGGCTCGAATACACCGGCTTTTACTGCTTCGACAAACTCGGCTTCCTCTCTTTTTCTGGGTTTCCTACCATAAACATGTCTATTGAATGTGTCGTCGTTTGGTTTTCCATGTTCTTCTAAATAAGCTAAAATAACTCTTGACAACTTTTTTTCGGTATAATGTCGTCGACCAAGCGCAGAATATGTTGCATTAAATGTTGTTCTCAGAAGCGGAAGCATAGTCCCTTGCGAAATGAGCATTGGATTGTCATAAATCTTGAAAATGCTAATAAAAACCGAGACACCAGAAACAGTAGTCACAGACGGAATTGCTTATTTCGAAATAAGGAATTAAGCATACGAAAAAACCATGATCATTACTATGGTACGGGGCGAATCAATGCCATCGTTATCCTTCATCCCCAGTTGGCAAGAAAGGTATACTGTGGGGTATTGTAGGATAACGGCAAGTGTGACAGAAAAACATCACCAAGACACACACATACACATACACCTCGACGCCTTAAAAACGCCGTTATTCTGCAAAGATACACTGAATACAGGTGAAGTTAAGCGTGATTTGCGTATCCAGGTTCAAAATCTACCTCCTAAATATTATTTCCTAAGGATGAACAAGAAATCCTGTTGGAAGAGATCACTATATCGGTTTTCTTTTTTGACCAGAGTAGTCATGATAATCAAACACTCGCTCGAGATGGTTTTTTTCATCCGCCCTTTTAGTGCTGTGTTTATTGTGTACCGGGAGATAATGATTATGGGAAAATCTTGTATAATCTGTTCAAGATTAATCTATCCTCTTCTTTTTCTATCTATTGTCTTACTTTTTTGTAACAAGTATCATTAGATTCAGTGTGACATCATAACATCAATACAATATACTATTTCCAGAAAGCAATGCCGTTCCAAGATGTTGCATTTTGTATATATTGTATTATAAATTTTTGAATTATGCGACTACTGCTGCTGCTGCTCTCGGATTTGCGGAGCTGGGTTTTAACTACTGATAACAAATTTATGTTATCAGCACACAAAGCTACAGCACTGTCAGTGATAGCTTAGATTCTACTTATCTTATAAATAGATGTTATCGTATCATCAAGATCTTTCTTCCAATATCACAAATTTCTTTTATGTTGGTCGAAAAGCAAGACGCACAGTCAATACCACTTCCGGATCCAGAATATAATGACCCAACAGATATCTATCCTCCAGTAGAAGATCTGTGTACCAAACGACCTAACTTTCTGAGTCGTGCCAAACATCAGATTACGACCTTTGATGGCTGGTTTGGTGATTACGATTATGCAGCTCTATGGTAAGAAACTAAAAAGATAAGTCACCGTTGTAAGTCTAATGCTTTGCAAATGCTTAGCTTACCAAGACTTCCCTTTCTGAAAAGAAAAGCAAAACCATCTATATTCTATGGACCTGATGACCCAGTGCCCATAGCGGTAGCATTTCTAATGGGAATCCAGCGTAAATACGTAACATTTGCTCTAACTATTGATTTGTTTACTAAATAACAGTGCAGATTTTTTGGCTGTTGTTGCTGGCATAATCACACCTACAATCATCCTTTCGGGAGAAGGCAGTAATAACCTGAATTTAGATGAAAGCACACGCCAATTCATGGTCTCTGTATCTCTTATTGTACGTTTTATCATTATTGATACTTGTTATATTAATCCCTTATGAATAGGTCTCTGGACTAATGAGGTATAACTCCTCTTTACAAATAAGACTGTAGCTGATTTCATTACTTGTAGTATTATACAAATTGTAAGATTCAAGATACCCAAGACTCGATTTTATTTTGGCATCGGGTAGTATCTTTGATCATAAAGTTGAGCTATTGACTCATGTTGCTATAGTTTACTACAAATTGCAGGTGTTGCATTCGCTAATATGCCAGCATCCCAAGCTTTAGTGGGCAATATGTACAAAAGTAAGAGTATTCTGTATTTAATAATATCATATTAACCTTTTTTATATAGATGGTCAATGTCCTATCGAAACACTGTCTGATGGTACAATTAAGTATCTGCCTTGTCCCGACGCATTTGGTGCAATCCTTGGTACACAAGTATGGTTTGGCGATGTTGTTATTTTGTATTGTAACTCATCTTTTCTTTATATAGATGCTATGTGCGCTTCTTAACATTGCTATCAGCTTTCTGCCTCATCGTATTCTCAGAAAAATGTTTCCCAAGATAGTAACAGGCACGGTGCTTGTCGTTATCGGTGCTTCTTTGATTACTACAGCGATGAAGAATTGGGCTGGTGGAACTGGGCCCTGTATGAGCCGTCCATCGTCTGGTGAATATCAGCTTTGTCCCAACATTTATGCTCCTCGTGCTCAAGCCTGGGGAAGTCCTATCAATTTTGGTATTGGCCTTGCTGTCTTTGGTTCAATTGTCCTTATTGAGATTCTAGGTTCAGTTTTTCTAAAGAACATATCCGTCGTAGTGGGGCTTGTTGTGGGCTGTATTATTACATCCTGTCTTGGCATGTTTGATACATCAACAATAGCTTCTGCACCTGCGGCTACATTTCTTTGGGTCAAGACATTTAAATACAGCATTTACCCTCCTGCAATCATTCCCTTTTTGTTTACATGCCTAGACATGATGATAGAATGTCTTGGAGATCTTACAGCAGCCAGTGATCTTTCCGGCTTACCAATCGAAGGCCGACCATTTGAAGAACGCATGCAAGGTGGCCTCCTGTGTGACGGCGTGAGCATTATATTGTCCGGCCTCTGCTCCACAATGGGCGTTATTACCTATAGCAACAACAACGGTGTTATCGCGGTAACCCAGTGCGCAAGCCGTGCAGCTGGACTTGTATGCGCCTTTTTGTTAATCCTTTGTGGCGTATTCTCCAAAATCTCTGCTGGCTTGCTAGCTATTCCTAACCCAGTTATAGGTGGTATGACTCTCTTCATTTTCTCATCTGTTGGTGCCTCAGGTGTGCGTATTCTTGGTTACCTTGATTGGACACGGCGAGATCGCGTTATCGTGGCAGCTTCATTGGCAGTGGGTCTTGGAGTTACTTTAGTCCCTAACTGGTTTAACTACGTCATGCCTACAACTACAAATGAAGCAGCTCAAGGATTCTATGACTCGATCAATACCATTGTCGAGACTGGCTACATCATGGCAGGTATCATATCTATCGTCCTTAATGCAATTCTCCCAAATGATGTCAAATCAATCGCACAAGATAATTTGTCTGAACGGTCGCTTAGTGGCTCAAGTCGCTTGTACTATGAAGAGAAGAACCATAAGAGCAGTAGTGCGTGAAAATGTATCAAAAAAAAACTACAATTACAAATAACCCGTATAAATAATAAAACAAGTAAAAATTAGTGGATATTCTGTTAATGCTATTGTATCTCATTTTGATGCCAAGGAATACATCAATGTTGCTGGCTTTCTTTTACATAAGAGAAGCCCAATGGTGTTAACAAAATAGTATGAAAGATCATTAAAATCAATTGTAATTGAACTAGAGCTATAATGACATTCTATACACATTTAAAGAACTAAAGCTTAACACTGTGACCTAGTATGTATCTATCAGTAAATGTGTTATTGGAATAGGTGTATTCTTGTCCCCTATGAACAGAATTAATAAAGTGGTGCATTTGGTAGCATATTATTAAAATGAAAAGCTTTTATTCACAGTACTGTATCAAGAACTAAGGGTTACAGATGTAAGAGTAACAAACAAGCTTGTCGGTGAGCAAAACTGTGGTACATTTCTTGATTGCCTTGTTTTCATAGCATGTACCAAGAAGCTTACCATCACCATTGTTGGCGTAGAACTCCCACCTTCCATCGTTTCTCTTGTAAAAGTTCATTTCGCCCATACCACAGAGACCCTTTCTGATCTTGAAAAAGTTCGTATCAGGCGTAATGTTTCCAAGACCTGAGTTGTTGGCATCGGTAACAACACCGGCTCTATCACCTTTACCATAGCAATTACAGTTCCAGTAGTTAGAAGGGCAAGCAACTACACCAGTACGTCCACCAGTAGCAACACCAGTAGATATGTGAAAATCAGCGCTAACGTAAGCGATAACTGAGAAGATCAAGCAGTAAAGAGCAAGTAATCTGTTCATGTTGTTAGTAATAAGAAAAGGGAATAATTGAGAGTCCTTTTATACAAAAAACAGAACAGAAACTTTATTAATAAAAGCTTAATAATGAAAAGTAGGTTCTTGTGTACATCCTCTATTTGTTGTACAGATATTACATTGCAAATTACCAAGTATGACCCGCCTGCACCCATTTACAAAGTCAACACTTCACCCCGCCATTTACAAAGTCATAGTCTGATAAAAATAGAAAATATGCGCAAGCAATGGCATTTGCACTTTATGGCCAATCAAAACGAATAATCAATTTACAAAGATGAACAGTCTCATGTTGTTGATAGACTATGTCAGATAAGAAAGTGTGCTCCCTGGAGACGACCAGTCCTCATACGGAATATGTGTCATACATCTTAACAGCACAGCTCTAAATCTATTGATGCTGCTATTACCAAGCCAAATGATATGGGCTTTTGAATGGACGGAATGAAATTTGAGCGTGTCTAACAACCTAAAAAAAAGGTCAGAACAATAAAGACTTTTCTGATATTGGAAAAAAAAAAAAGGCTTCGAGTGCATTAGATACTACAAGACAGTCAAGTATACTTGTTCACTTTGCATTACAGCGTGAAAAGAAAACTTCTGTATAAGTTGCTTCTAAGGCTTAACTATTACTTTGTTGCGATCTAATGCATCATGATTAATCCGGAGCTTACTGTATCTGCTGTACTTGAAATAAAGACTCAACAAGTCTAATTGCTCAATTGCTTCATCATTGATTGTAGTTCTACTTTTCCTGAAATCCCTACAACACCGTATTGTTGGTGTTGAAGCACGCATCCATATACTTGTAGCATGAGGTCTATCAGGCTTCTGTCATGCTGTAGCCTTGTGGCTGTTCTTGCTGTATTAGCCGTTGTTGTTTTAATGTCCGTAGAGATTAAATCAAAAAAAAGAGACCAAAGTACTAGACAAGATAGAAGTAATTGTATCAAATGTAGAGATTAACACTAGTCATGGTCAATCATGGTAGTGTATATATCGACATGACGCCTATGATAAAGGCCTTTCAGTATAGCTCAATTGAATACATCTCTTCGCGTTACGTGTTGCACCAAGCTTTTGTAACATTATACTTTAATCCAATAATTTTTTCAGATGTAAATCGTTTAAAGCAAACCAATGGTTCCCTTACTTCCATGGTATTACCTTCTTAATTCGTATATTGATTTGATGGCTTCCCTTTCATATTCAAGTATACAGTGCTTTTAGTTATAAAAAAAAAGCATGATAGTTGACCCTAACGTTACTAGTAAGCTTATGTTCTGTATAGCTAGCATAGATTTAGTGATAAGAGGACGCTTTAATTCAAGATCGACGTTGTATGTAGTTCTAATTTAAACATGGAGCTTCAACTGCATATAGTGCAACCTAAAGAGGTGGGACAGGGAACCAAAAAGGCTTTTATTTGCCGCAAAGGAGGTTACCATGTCAATGGTGCTCGGAGATTAACTAAAGTATTTGATATATGTTTAAACTATGTCTACATGTTGCGCTGGTTTGTCATTTTAAGTATAATACAGCACTACTAATCCTATGAATATGTGATATTATTCTTTGAAAAGAGTGCATACAAGTATAAACGTATAATAAAAAGAGGATTCTCAAGGCAGTAACGCTGGATCAGCATTAACATTAAGCAACGGAATTGTAACACACAGTCAAGTTTATCATGTCTGATTCTTATACACCCCAGTGTAGTATCCTTCTCATTTCGTTATAGTAAACGAACGTACGCATAAATATTCTTGAAAGTGAGACGGTAAAAGCAATGCAATAGAAAGAACTGCTTAAAGGCTTCATGCGCGGAATAAGTGTTCCAGTTGAACCGAGTTATTCCAGGTGTGCGCCATAAGCAGAATTATACTTTAACATTCGTCATGCGTTACACGCCTATATACCCGCTACACAACGTAAATGAAGTATACTGTTAGTCATTGCTATTCGAGCCTCCCTTGAAACATGTCAAAGTCGATATTTATCTCAATCAACAAACTCATCTTTGCTACTAACTAATATTTCTTACTTGACTATTATTGAAATCAATATCTTAAACAGTATAAGAGAACTTTGCTCAGAAAAAGTATACGTATGCAGAATAGTTTTCAAATGCGATGTTCCGTCACAAATGGCGGATATAAAAAACATGCTTGATTTAGGAAATCTTAGTGTTTGAAGGAGAGTTACGCTGATGATAATCTTGAGAAAGCAAGGTATTGTCGCACTTCTACGTGTATATCAAAAAAGATTATATATCCTTTGACTTTGTATACTCGATGTACATCTCGTACACAAGCCAAAATCATCTTAAATATTAACATAATACCTCGCATTAATCCCACAACACTGATTCGTAGTAGTTGATGATGCGTCATATTAATGCAGTTCACAAGGTGGTGACAATATTGATTCTTGCATATAAAGATTAACTCCCCTTTTTGCCATGAATCTCTCTCTTTTTCATGTTCATTAATGTTTACAAAGGGTCTTATTCCATCTACTTGTATATTCTAATTTTTCGAGTTAAAACTACTATCCATTGACAATATCACAGGTATTAATTACTTGAAAAACTAGATGGTACTTGAAAATTCTGCTGATACATTGAAAAAGATGAAAGAAGAACACGAGACATACGAAATTTCGAGAATGTTTCAAGGTGGAGATAGAACTGTCTCATTATTAGCCATGGTGAACACTGAAGTTCAAAGACCAAATAAAGGGATTGGATAGGTATCCTTTTAACAACTGAAAAAGATGAGAATGTTTTCATTGTTAGCTTTAAAAGCACTAGTAGTAACAATACTTGGAGAAGATATTATTAGGTAAAGGGGATGTATTAGTAAGAAATAGAAAATATATTTCCTATTGAGACCCTTTTAAGCAAAGTTGATACGACTAGTACTAGAAATCTTAAATTACATAATATTGAACATAAACATATTATACGAGATTTCTACTACTCGCCAAGTCGACTGAAGCAAAAAAGAATATATGAATCACAAAAGCGCAAATACACTGATAGACTTTGCTCAGATGAGCGCAGATATATCACATCTTCTACAAACCTAAAACTTATCATGTTTGCTGGTGATCATGGCTTAGGTGTAGGCTCACGAATCAAAGAATACATGCATTACGGTGGTTATTAGAAACCTCTGAAGCATATACCTCTGTATGTATAATGAACGAACACCATGCCTCCCAAACGCGCATCTATTGCTTCCAAAAGTCGTCTCATCCAGTACAGACGGCTTACAAGAATGGTATAAGACGATTACGAACAATTAATGGTGCAATTGTCTGCGACAATCCAAGTTGTGTCTCTAGTCAAGCAAAGAAGGCTGTAAAATGAAGATATACCTTATCTGCAATGGCAATTGGTCTTTTCGGTTTATCAGCACTCTTTTTTTTTTTTAATGCAACCTTTCCTCAATTTGATCCACACGTCAGTCAACCCAACACTGATAAATTCAAAACTTTCTTACTGCAAACGAAGATTGGCCTAGTCAATGACAGTAGTACCTTCTTGAAAGCTAAGCCCTCTCTCAGTATGGTTAATGTTCTTTTTCAATCTCTTATTCATTAACATATAAAGCCCTTCTGAAACAAGAAAGCGAATCTTTTAAAAATATACAATCTCTTGAACGTATAAGAAGGACACATATTTCATTTTCTGGGCCCTAAAATGAAAAATCACAGCCATATGAACCCATATCACGTGTGGTGCTTAAAATAGAATTCGTGTACCCTTATTTTATTTCCCTTTCCTTTCTTCTCTATTAAGGTCACCTTTACTCCAACCCTCCCTCCTTTAGTCAAGAGTGGAAGGTAAACTAGTTACCCAAGATATGCTTAATATAGGCAACTTATTTTTAGTGAGGATAGCATGATTAGCTCATCTGAAGAAGCTTCCCTTGTCAATGGGATGAACAATGTACAATTACAAGACTACAATCATGAGGCTCCTGCTTTTTCGGGAGGGCATAAAGATGACGACGACGATCGTCCACTTTCATTCCAAAGAGCTCCCAATTATCCTCGACCTATTTCAGTCAGGAATATGGCAGTGAGGAATACGACGAGACCAGCCAACTTTATTAAGCCTGTACCACAATTTTTACAAAACAATGTGCCTGCACCAAGTGACATGGCAAGTGTTCAAAAGTTGTACGAGAATTATTCGCAAAAAGTATATCTTGAAGGCTATGTTTACAAGAAGAATGATCTGACAGTAGACGGAAGACCGCTTGGAGAGAATGATTGGACAAAGTGGTATATGGAACTGTGTGGACCAGTATTAACATTATGGGAGGACATTGAGGGAGACGAGATCATACCTCAATTTATAAACATAACAGATTCAAAAGTCGAGATTTATAGTGAAAAGGACAATATATTTTCACTTAATTCAGCAGGACAAAATAGGTTTCTATTCAATGCTATTGAATATGAAATGCTTTTGAAATGGATTTGCTCTATTCGCTTATCTTGCTTTGAATGTTCAAAATTACAAGAGATTTATACAAGAAGATTGATTACAAGATCGACATTTAATGACTTGTTAAGTAAACCACAAACCAAGATGGAAGGATACGTGCAAGTTAGGTTGTCAGGTACAACAGAGTGGCAACGATACTGGTTGAACATTTCTGAAAAATCAAAGAAGCTGTTCAATAAGAGTAAAGATGCATCCATTTCATTTTATGAATCCAAGAAATCGAAGTCGCCTTTGTATGCAATGACACAGGTTTTACAGGCATATGTCATCTACCCTGAATCTCCTCAGCTAATGGAAGTATCTACTATTTTTAAAATTGAAGGAATCATTAATAATGAGTATTCAACTGCTTTGGTCATGGCGTCTTCCACAAAGGAACTTGCTCAATGGATCATTACTATCTTTGACTCATTCAAGATCTATGGAAGGCCTAGTCAACTGCTAAATGACACAACTAATGCCCAATCTCTTAACTTTGGTGAATCTCCCGATAGCTCTTTATTCTTGGACTTGCAAGATGTCTTTATGCATGTTGATGTGATCAACCAAAAGCTATTAGACAATAAGGCACAATTCTCGGATATTCTATTACAAAAATTAAATGCAAGACAACAGCAGCAACAACAGCAACAGCAACAGCCTATGCGTCAATTCGGTTTGATTCATCAAATACCAAATCAAAGAGCGTCAACCCCTCTCTTAAACTTTAATCAACAACCAACGCAGCAGTCAATGCAACAGCCAATGCAACAGCCAATGCAACAGCCAATGCAACAGCCAATGCAACAGCCAATGCAACAGCCAATGCAACAGCCAATGCAACAG